AACAACTGATATGGTGCTTAAATAAACTATGATAAATTCATAGCCAGAATATTAGCTGCACATTCAAAATGAATGTTATATTGCAAAGAATAATACTTTATTGACTTGACTTGAATGAACATTCAAAATCTTTTAGGTGAAAATAAGCTAGTGACAAAAACAGCACATACCCAAATTTTTTAATTATCAAAATACAGAATGCTTCTTTGTGTTTAATAAAATTTAAATACATTTAAAATTACCTATAAACTGATTCATCCAAATGAATAAGTATCTCTGGGTGAATTCACTATAAATGTTATTTATCCTATATGTATTCCTGAGTTTTCCAAATTTCCTACAATGACTAGGTATTATATTAGTAAGAAAATACAAAATGTTTTTACAATACTGTGATTATAGTAACAATAGTATCCCAAATCACACTAACATTGATATTCCAACTTTTTTTAGGTTACACCAAAATTAGGCATGCCCTCTCTCTCCAGATCAGATCACATTCTGATTCTTTAAGTACAATTAAAAATTTTTTCAGAGTTCTAGAATACATTTCACTGCACCTTTATTTATGCTCAAGTACAATGCCAAATAATATTCAGATATTAGCTATTCTGTTTTCATCCATCTACCAAACCTAAGCGTCAAGGTTAAAAAAACAAGCCCTGGACCTTTGGACCAGCTGGACTCAAGATTTTTATCTACATCTAAATCCCGAGCCAGAAAATTTTAAAAGAAAATTAAAAAGAGGGGTGGGAAAGCATAGGTATTAACTTTCTCAGGACAGAAAGTATGAACGGTTGACAACTTCCAGTCACAAACCTTCTCTGTCTCACTTTGGAGACAAAGGAATTATTTTCTCCTTCTATGACTTACAAGGGAATAGCAAGCAGAATTTCTTCAAAGATGCTTTAAACTGGAGATTTTCAAGTGTTAAATGTTTTCTTTCCTCAGTGCAAAAAATGCAGCCTAACTCTAAGCGAGCCAAAAAGACTCTGGGAGTACTTGACTCTCAAAAAGAAGCAATGGACAAACTGTTAATTTCATCTGCTTCCCTCCAGAAAAAAAAAAAGACAAATATTACATGGCGGTGCCAAGGGTCTCAGGTTCCATATAAGGGGTTTTTCTGAGGGGCATCCATCTTCACAATATTTCAGATACTCTGTAATTTTTTGAGTATCTAAAAAGGTACTCAGAAAACCAATCTTGATATTGCATGACAACAATATTGACAATGATAACAAAGAAATGTACTACCTCTAACAACATATTCTTTGTTAGAGATGCTTCTTCCAGAATTGTCTTTCTTTCCTACTGGTCAAAGCTCTAAATACATTCTCCTAGTTCCTCTAAGACTTAGTTCTAATAATCTCATCTTTTCTGAATCTCTTCCTTCCTTCCCTCTACTCTCACTTTCCTTCTGTAGGTAAATGAATAAATGCAACAGTCCTTCAAGCTGTATTCTTTTGCAGTGGTTTTCAACCACGCTTGCACATTGAAATTATCTAGGAAACTGTAAAATAATTACCAATGCAAGTAATCTATACAGACAGAAGTAGATCAGTGGTTTCCTGGTGATGAGAAGGAAAGATTACAAAGGATACAAGCAAACTTTAGGTGATGGATGTTTATTATTTTAATTGTAGTAAATGGTTTTACAAGTATAAATATATGTCAAACATTAAATTGCACAATTTAAATGAGAGTTTATAATATGCCAATTATACTTCAACAAGCTCTTGCTTACATTACTGATACCTGGGTCCTATGCTGCCCTCATTGGAATAGGGAGGGGTTCCCTCTGGAAAACAAAATCCTTAAAGACTGCAAATGTGTAGCCAATATTGAGAACCACTGCTCTATATCTAGCATCTTCTTTACTCAGTTTTCTTGAAAAGTCCCATTCAAGCTCATCTACTTTATCACCACCCATCCTTTCTTAATCTTCTGAAGTCCAGTTTCTGAACCACACCACTCAGTTAAAGCTGTACTTACTAAAGTCACCTATGGACTCCTGACAAAGTCACTGTTCACTGGGATCCTCTTCTTGATACCACTTTACAGCACTCCAAATTGTTGACTTGTTCCTCTTCCATTTGAAAATCTGTCTACCCTACCTGCCCAACAACCTGCCCCTCCTGCCTTTCCAACTACCACTCTTCTATCTCTTTCAGACTATTCTACATATTTCTGCTATTTTTTTTTGCCTGAGTGGGGGGAGGGAGCTGGTGGAGAAGTATTGGGGTTTGAAGTCAGGGCCTCATGCTTGCTAGGCAGGTACTCTACCACTTGAGCCACACTGCCAATCCTAATTCTGTCATTTATCAGAGTCTGTTCTCTGGCTGCTACGTTTATCATACTAAGGCTTTCACCGAGTCATTTCTATTAAACCAAATCAATACAGCTTCATTTCAACCCCCATTCTCTCTAGACCTGATTTCCTTTATACATTATACATCTACAGATCCAAATATCTATCTACATCTTTACCTAAGTGTCCCACTGATTCCTCAAATTCAAAAATAAAATTAATCATTTTCCTTCAATTTATATGTTCTCTGTTTCCAACCAATGAAACCAAGTCATATCCTCAGTGTCTTGCTTCCTCCTTTTTTCTTCCCCTAGATGATTAGGAGCCATCAGATTTTACTTCACTTTGCCAGAGGTGAGAGTCTAAAACACAAATCCAATAAATGGCTTCTCTTACATCATCTTCAATCTAATCCCTTAGGTAAAGGCACATTGTCCTGGTCTGTCTCTGTACCACCCTCACTATTCTCGTTTTCACTATTTCCCTACTAACCCTGCATAAGCCATGTCAAAGGGAACGTGATTGTCTCTGTCATCTGACAGTGTCCACTGATACTGACTTGTCATTGTCAGTGAATTCTCTAACTGCCATGGTTTCTTGTACCTCCTTGCCTTCTCACTTATTATATACCCTCTTCTTGGAAGGTTATTCACTTACCTCTTATACTTCAAAACTCTGTGTGCTCCCAACTCCCCACATCCAAGATGAGTTGGCCATCTCCTACTCTAAGCTCCCTCACTATACTAGGCATATCTCTATTCACGCTTTATTACATGGTATTATAAATATGTTACTTTATTATAATGCTAGTAACACCTTGTATATTAGACAGCAAATTCCTTGAGAAGAGCTATGACATTCATTTCTGTATCCCTAGTACTTACTCAGCCGGAGGCAATGATTTGTTTGATATAATTGCAAATATTTATAAAATGTAAATTTGATACCCCCAAAAAAGTATTGAATACTAGCATTTTTAAAGATATTTCTTAGACTTCATTATAAAATACATAATAGGCAATGGGATGCTGAATAAAAGAGTTGATTAAAAAGACAAGTTTAAACTTATTGTCAAAACAACTGTAAAAAAAAAAATACAACCAAGAGCAGATATGAAAAACAGAAATACAAAAAAAAAGGAAGCACAGTATTCACATCCAGATATTGTTAATGCTGATTATTAAGAGGGGTTTCAAATCCCTCTCTGTTAAGAATTTTAATAAATCAAATAAGGGCAAAATGAGCCAGCTCTAGAATTTATTTCTAAATTTATGCTAGGTTTCCTCCTTGCTACTCAGCTTAAATGAATTATTTGACTATCTGGTTTTAAAGCTACTCTTGACCAGCTCGTAAAGATGTTTTTGGTTTTTTTCTTTCTTGCCCTTCCTTGCACTTCAAAAATATGGTGCATACTAAAACTCATCTTATAAACGGTAAAATGGATTAACCTAAAGGGGAAAAAATGCTTACAAATGATGGAGAACTGTGGCTGTTAGGAATAGAATGTTCTCATGGCAAACACCTCCTAGAACTATCACATTGAGTCAAGGTTACACCAATCCTTACGACTTTATGCAGATAAGATTTTAAAAACTGAAAAACCTCCAATTGTAAAGTGATACATGAACCCAAGAGGTGGCACACTGCTGCTCCAAAACCTACTATGTGACCCAAAGGACAAAGAAATCTGCAAAAGGACAGTTTGGCCCTACGGCCTGTAGTACTGTCTGAGATAAGTAGCAGCTGCCCGTGGAACAAACTCCCCCTACCTGAAGACCGGAGCGCCTGCCAGGGTTCTGTGCACAGGGCTCTGTGCAGTATGCAACCACTCCGGCAAAACTAAAGCCTTTCAGGAATGTCTAAATCCAAGGTACAAAGCACACATGTGCACCGACCCTCAGTTTTGCTGAAGCCTACAAACTTGGGGTCTTTTTAATGCAAAGAGAAAAAAAAAAATCAGTTGAAACCCCGACGCTTCTCGAGGCTGGTACCAGCAGCCTCGGAAGAGAACTAACTCGTGGAATGAAGGGGGAAAGGGCTGCAGAGGAGATCTTTAGTGCAATAAACCACCAAGGAAGGAACCGTGGCTGCTTTCTCAGCCTTTCCGCCCCGCGCGGGACCAAAGAGCAGCTGGGTCCACAGTGACCATTTTGACCCCCAGACTGGACAGACAGAGCTGGCCTCGCTGGAGTGAGGGGAGAGGGTGGGATGGGGCGGGGGGGGAGGGGGAAGAGGCCGGAGCATCCGCGACCGGTGAAGGGGTGGGAGCGGGGTGGGGGTGCGGGGGTGGGGGCTCCCACCCTCCGCCGACCCTGCAGAGGGGCCCGAGACTGCGGCACCCGGGTCACGCCCCGAGGCTGGACCCCCTCCTGGCTGGGAAGGGGAGACCCGAAGTCCACGCACAAAGCTGCCGCCTCCCAAGCAGTCGGCGGGCTGCGCCCAACTTCGGGGCGAGCAGCCGCCGGCCGCCACCCACCCATCCGGCCCCGACGCCCCCAGCGTCCACCGCCACCTCGCGCCCACCCGCGGAGCCTCGCGCGGAAGCCGTTACCCCTCAACGAAGCAGCAGCCCCAGGAACAAAGTCCTGTCCGCTACCCGCCCCGCCGCCTCGCCCCGGCTCCTCCCTGACAAAAAAGTTATCGGTCGCCGGCCGCCCCGGGGGCCCGGCGTGAGGCGTTCGGCCGGACTTACCAAAGCAGCTCCTGGAGCTCTAGCTGCAGAACCTCGACTTGGAGTCTCGCAACAACAACGGCGACGGCTGCTCTGCTTTCTCTAAGTAGCAGCACCACCTGCCCCCCTTCTTTCTAGCAGAACGGGTCCAGGCGAGCCATCTTCCCCCTCCTCTCACTGACTGACAACCCAGCCCCGAGAGCCGCCGCTGCCGCCAGCTACTCTGACAGGCACAATCAGGGACCCGTCCCCGATCAGCCAACCACCACCGCCCCACGCCAGTTCAGCCTATCGCCGTCCCCCAGGGTGGGCTCAGAACAACTTCTCCACCAATGAGAACCTTCCGCTGCTGAACCTGGGGTGGAGTCATGAGGTGGGAGGGAGAGCGACTTCAATGGGCGTGGCCTGGTCGATGGGCGTGGTTGGGGCGCCCGGGGACGGTGATTGACTGTGGAGTTTTCGTTGGCCACTAGGCTACAGTGATCAGTAGCCAGGTCTCTTCAGACGCTGAACCCTTAGAGCGTATGATGTTCTTAGAAGAAAATAAACCCTACCGGGTGATGTGAAATATAATCAGAAAAGAGAAACAAAATGATATTTTAGTGTATTGGTCGGGAGAATTTAAATCTCAATAATTCAGTTCACAAGAATTTATCAAAATTTTGTCAGATCCTCTGAGGGGGGAAAAATGTACATTTTTGTAAAGGATAATTAAAAACTTGTCTCCCTAATTATATCATTACTTTTGGCTTAGCCTGTGTATAAGGATTGGAACCTGACCCCATCTGAGCCTGCTCCTCTATATATCCCACCATTTTGACCTTGTAAAGGCCCCCTACCAGGTCCTCTCATATCTAATTAGAAGAAAAAAATGAATCTCCATCCTGGAAGACAGGAAGCCATTCTAGTGTAACACTAGAAATGGGAAGGGTTCTCCAAAAGCACCAAGTGATTTTTTTCATACATGCCAAGCGATTAACAATCACGTGTGTGTTTGTGTGCGTGTGTGTGTGTTTGCATGTGTGTGTGTGCGTGCGTGTGTGCGTGTGGATTACTTGATGTCAAAGGACATCAGGCAAGTAAGTCCATGATCACTAGGGCAGATTGCCGGAACAGACAAGATCCTCCAAGGGCATAAGTCGGATAATAACAGAGCCAAGTTCAACAAGCAAGGAGAATGAAGGGCAAGGAATGATTGTATTTAAGAGAGTCTGGGAACTTCTGAAGGGAGACTTGTGAGTTTTATCTGAAAAGATAAATAGGGCCAGATGGGCTGCACACCTGTAATCCCAGCTACACGAGAGGCTGAGGCAGGAAAATTACAAGTTTAAGGCTAACCCAGGCAATTTAGTGAGAGCTTGTGTCAAAGAAAAATTTGTAAAAGGCTGAGGTATTTGCATAAGGAGGCCCTGGGTCCAATCCCCAGTACCACCACCAAAAAGAAGAGTTTGCCAAGAAAGAGGGATCACCATGTTTGAAGGCAGGGAACTGTGGAGGAGCAAGGAGTGGTTGGGGAACATTTGAGAAAATGGGTGGAGCCAAAAGATGAGGAGCAGTCAAAAATCAGACCACACAAGAAGCAAAAGGTTGAGATTAAATACAAGAAGCCTTATGGGCTGGTATAAGATATTTAGACTAGTATCCTCTGATAGCACTTTCTGCAAGGTTGAAAATGTTCTCTATTTGTGTTGTCCAAAATGGTAGCAACAGGCTAGTGGAGTGGCTCAAGTGATAGAGTGCCTGCTTAGAAAGTGTGAGGCCCTGAGTTCAAATACCAATGCCAGCTATTAAGCATTTCACATATTACATGACTGAGGAATGCAAGTTTTAATTTTAATTTTAACAACTCCCCTACTGGACAGCTTAGGTTGACATTTTATTCTGTAGGCAATGAGGGACCAGCAGAAGTTTGGTGTTGTTTATTTATTTGTTGTTTTGGAGACAGGGTCTCACTCTGTAGCTCAGGCCAGCCTCAAATTCACAGTCCTTCTGCTTCTGCCTCCCCAGTACAGAGATAACAGGGGCATGCTCCACAACTGGTCCAACAGAAGTTTTTAATCATGTGGCCAGCACAAACAGATATCTTTTAAAGATAAAAAGTCTACAACAACAGTGTAGAATGCCTGTTCCCTTTGAGAGAAATCTTAGAAGAGCAGACCAGAGTCCTGTTGGAGGACTGATGTAATCATTTAAGTCCCCTAGCCCAGAGCCTGGTTAGTGGGGTGTTTAACTCAAAGGAATAAATAGGGACAGGAAGATGCAGAGAGTATGTTATACCTTGACATCATAGACACAAATGCAATCAAAACTTGAGAATTTAAATTGTGCTGTCAGGTCCTGGAGAGCCAGGGAGGGGAGCTAGAAAGGGAAGGAAAGCCAAAGGGTCAAATAGATCATAAAAGAGGGAGATAAGAGTAAACAAAGGAGTACAAACACACAGACACATTTATTGGCCATTGGTCATGTGTTTGCCTGATTTAAAAATCCAGGGTGTCTGATGGTAGAAAAGCCAAGCAGGACCAGGACAAGATTCCAGAAGATGAAGACCTAAACCACACTTGTAGAAGTGAGGATGGAAGGCAGGAGGAAATACTGATCTCTTGCAGTGTGTGTGTGTGCAAGACACTTGGTTTGTCAAGGAGTGTGTGTGCTGTAAGGAGGCTTACAGAATAGATAGCTGGATAACAAACTGGTGAAAAGTTAAGCAAAGATTAATCCTTTAATGCAACAGTAGAAGAAATGACGCAAGGAAGTACATAATTGATTCACTGTTCAAATGATTTTCTAGCAGAGGGAACAAACTGCCCTCCAGTCAAGAAAGGCTTCATGGAAGAGATATAAACTAAGCTGGTCTTGAAAAATGGGAGGATTTTGAATCAGAAAAGATAGATGAGGAGCAAACTCCTGGAATACCTAGAAAAAATAACAGAAGAGGGGAAGCACAAGCAATGTTCAGAGGGTATGGGAGGCAATTGAGCCACCAGAGCCTGGCAGGCTAGAGGCTGTGAATAGTTAATTAGAGTGCCTTGAATACAGGCACAAATGTTCAGAAGGAAAATACTCTCTCCTTTTGCCTTGTGGCTTCCTATCTGCTCATGAGAATCATTTAGGATGCCTTCCAAAAATATTACTGTCCAAACCATACCCCACACCAGATTAATCAGAAAGTGAAGGAGTGGGTTGAATACATGAATCTTTTTAAAACTTCCCAAGTATTATAATGTACACCAAGGATTGAGATCAGGGGATGACATTGTAATGTTTGACTAATGCTATTAAGACTCTAGAGAAACTGAAATCAGCTTAACTATGTTCTTTTCTTCCTGCAAGGAGACAGGAAGCAGTCTATTGCCTGACTTTACTTCCCGTTTTACAGTGGTAAGATACATTAAACTCAGTCTAAGTTAAGTCTTCCTTTAAGAGTAAAGCCAATGTACAAATTCATGTTTGCAATCTACTCTCCATCACAATTTGCATGGATAAAAATAATTTCCAACAATAACAGTCTGCAGTTAACTGTTAGATATAACCATTTATATTTTAGTCCCCAAACACTAGGAAAATGCCTAAGAGAACATTTTGTTTCAAAAGGGAGATGCTTTTAACCTACTTATAAAAGTTAGCATATTCCAAACCTTTCCTATCCATATTTGCTAGCCTTTGATATCTGGAATCACGAGGCTACACTAACTATTAAAATGCTTTTATCTTATTGAATGTAAGTTTATAAAAAGCTCAATTGACTATTATATAGGAGGAACAGCTCCCTAGGATATTAAACTTCAGGAACTTTAAGGAAATATTAGCTCAAATATATTTCTATTGAAGTTAACTGGAAAACAACAACATAATGTGACTGTTTTTTTTTAATGAAACAGGAGAATTTTGCCTTGGGGAAAAAAAAACATGAAAAGTATATCAAAGTATTACTTTAGCAGTATGTTAAACACATTAAAAGGGAAAAAAAAGAGTATGCCAAAAAGGTTATCCACTGTGTGAGTATTAAGGTAACTCCCTGGCTAGGTCCCCCTGCTGAGGTAGCAAGCAGCCTGAGCCATAATCTATGCCATAAACTCCCTTTAAGAACCATGTAATCTGAAGGTAGCCATGCTTAAGAGGTGATATGACATGAACACACCACCCCAACAGGGATGGCAGTGACTATCTACACCCATTCTCTTTTAAGAACTTGAACTGGGAATAGGAAGAGAAAATCACATAGTGGGAGCAGAAGCTAAACAGGCAGTACAAAGCAGACTTGAGAAGCCAGAAAGGGGACAAATTATGAGAAAACTGAAGCCATTAGGTGGAGAGGAGACATGCACAGTGGAGAGTGACGTGGTTAATGAAGGCTCAGTAGAAATAGAGACAGAGTAGAACAAGTCACTGTCGAAAAGATGGGGATGGCCAGGGAGCAATGAGATAATCCTTTTCCTGCAGCTTCACTGGATCATTCCAACACCCCATATGTGTAAGGTCCAGCTGTACCCATTTCCAGAATCCCGTAAGATTCCCATCTCCATTACCTACGATATTTGAAGTGACTCACCATGTCTTTCATCCTTGTATAAACCAGTAAGTAAATTTTAAGAACTGTGGACTGTGACATTATGATACGTATTTTGGTTTTCATCCAAGTTCCTGGCTTATAACTTCCATAACTTTGCTTATTCTCTAAATTACCAGAACAATAAAATATTTGGCCTTTTGTCTTTAGTTCCTGAAGCAGCTTTGGAGCAGTGTCAGAGGGACAAAGGTGAAAAACACTCTCTTGTTATAATGTTAGAGCACTCTAGGCCTTAGGTAGAAGCCTCAGAGAGCAAAATCTCGCTTACTGACATTGTCCTGGCCTCTTTTCCTCTATTCCTTTTTTTCCCAGACAGGCCATAGAAATTAGGAATATACTCTAATCTTCCCCTGCTTTTCTGTCTTGGAGCTGGCCATAAAGAAATTCTCTGATTTACCTTGTTTGATAGTTTATCAGAAGATCCCCATTTCTGAATGGGTCCTGCCCCCTACCCTAGAGAAAGGAATGCTTCACAGAGAGGCCAAGAAGAATCTGAACAGACAGGCTTTGCTGGGTTTCTTCACTGAGTTTATCAGCATTAGATCAGACCTTTCTGTCCAATCATATTTCTACGTGGTTGTCCATGCTTTAGTCATGCTTATGCAATGAAGTCCCCACAAAAATCCAAAAGCACAGTGTTCAGAGAGTTTCTGGACA